GGATTTAATCGCCGTCAGGTCCGAAGTCCATACGCCGCCTCAGCTCTGCGGATGTCTCGGGGGTATGGCAAAGTTGAATCGATTTTTTATTTTTATTTTTTCATTTATCGTATAGTTCGAATTTAATCCCATGATATTCAGATAAGATTTGGGTATGGCACAGTGGAATAGCATTTTTTAAAATTTCTTTTGGTGGGTTCGAAACCCGTCTTATCCACATAAAATGTTTCTTTCTTTAAAAAAATTCATTTTTTAGATTTAAATCTTCAACAATAAGGCAAACTTAATTTAAGTGAAAAAATATTTATTCCTATTCGGTTGCTTATAACTTGTATAAGTTCAATCAGACGTTATCAGTCATATAAGCAATATCGATCCGCGAAAAGTAGAGCTTTTTTCTGCTGTCTTTCGTGGCAAAAGCTACTGACAAGAACATTTACTGCACTTGGATCATCATATGCCCGCAAAGGACTGATAGGTGGTGCCGTGAAGACTTCTGGGTACTATTGCACTATTTTGGTGATTCTGACTGAGAACATTGGGATATTTGTGTGACATGCATAACGCAAAACTTTTTATTTTGTCGCTTTAAAAAGGGCAGAACCTGCAAATATTTTAATATCATGTAGAGAACACCTTAGGTAATACCCTTGTTTTGCACTGCGCATTTTTCTGCGCATGCAACTAAAAGCATGGAACTAACAAAGTTCAGGCATTTTTCTTTTAGAAACTAACTAAGAAACATGTTCAAAACCAATTTTCAATTTTTTCTCTTTTTTGAGTAGAGAAATTGCGATTTCTATCCCACTCGCCCCAGTCGGAAAAATGTCAGTTTTCGACTATCTTGAGATGTTTTTTTTTCAAGATAAATCAAAAACGAGAATGGTGACGCCATCTTTTTATTACAGTTTTTAAATGTCCATAACATAATTAATGTCCATGCAAAGTTTCAGGACAAAGTTATTGGCAAAATTTCTTTCAAGGAAATTACCTTAAGGGAGAAGATCGTCTTAGACAAGTTAAAATCATTCTTTTCTGTGAACCATTCCATTCTCTTTTGGCTAACATTGCAACGAGGCCTCTGTGCTTGATACAGGCAACCCAGTGAATGCCTTTAGGGCGTCTTGTTGATTATTTATTGCTCGTAATCTTTTAATATACTCTTAAGGGATTGAAAAATAAATGCTTTTAAGGCATGCGCAGTTATAATTTTTAGTTTAGTTTGGAGGCGCTTTCTAGCTGTTTTTTCCAATTATTATTGCGCATCCCTCGTTAGTATAGGAAATCGCACGATCTCGAGTACAATTCGCAATTTATAGGTACGAGTGATGTTTTGAAAGTTTTCAAAATTGGACTAGCCTTCAGAAAAATCACGAGCATCTATAAATTCCGAATTGTACGAGAACATTGTGCGATTTTTTGTTTAAACTGTATAAGGTAAACTCTCTTGCTTCAGTATATTTAAGACCGACGTAAAGAGCAGCGTTATCTTGAAAAAACACGACGGAAAATAGGACGAGCACAAATGATCACTGACCCATATTCAAATCTCTTTTATTTTATTATGAACAACCTAATTTCTCTCTAAAGGCTCTTTTAAGAGGGTTTAGACTGAATGCAAAAATAAACCACCCGGTATCGATGTGTGTAGCTTTGTTAAGTCGATAACCCACCAATCATATTGATGTCACGTGACCACCTTAATTCCGCCATTTTGGAGGATAGATTTACACTTTTCAAACAAGTCAACAAATGCCATGTTTAAATCTCATTCCGTAAACAAGTTTTATCATCATTGGTATCTCACTTTAATTAACAAAAAAATTCGCCGAAGGCGAAGTGAATATCGGGGAATACTTACCGAGACGCGAGTCTTCTAGCTGCGAGGTAAATATACTCCGATATTCACTTCGCCTTCGTCGAATAATTGATTTAGTATGAATACACAGGTGATTCTTTTTTAAAAAAAGAAGATAAAAGACATTTTTTCCCGGTAACAGCAACAAAGCGGCTGGCCGCCATTTTGGATTATCGCTGGAGGTGATTGTGAGTTTCTCGACCAATCACCGCGCGAGATTTTCAATAATCACCTGCGTGGTTCGGGGAAGGTTATGGTTGAACACGTGACAATCAGCACGCATTACTCATTCAAAATTGAGCTTTAATTTACCGAGTATACAGTATAATAAAGATGGATTCATATGCTTCTATTATTGTTTTGTCAGGCTTACTCCATCAGGAGAGATTCTTGCCTATTAAGTCTTAGCGTCCATAACGGTGCATGTTTATTTATCGAGTGTTCTAGCAATTCTTGGAAAATAAAGTTAGTTATCGAAAACCCAATAGGCTGAGATCGCTGGGGGTTATGGCAAACATTCCATATCGAACATTAGATGATACACTAACTGACATCTCTTTTACTCAAACGAAGCACGAACGTCCGAACCGTCAATACAGTTGCAAGCTTTTTTATGCGGCCCCAACTGGAGGTTCATATACGCGGGTTTTTACTGAAGCTATTATCAGTAAGTCGATAATCATCGCGCAGCTGAAACATCTAAAATGTATCTACCCATTTACAGTGGTCTCAGTAAAATAATGGATTTTAATTTAACTCTGATAGTAAAATTCTATTTTGTCCTTGAAATTAAGTTGCTCTGGGAATGGGCCGCACCCACGCGGCTGCCATGTTAATAGTCCCCTTCACAGTTCCCTGCGCCATCTTGAAGAGGTAGCCGTGCCCTTGCATCGAAGCGAGACGAACGGTGAGCTTGCAATGATAGAGACATGCGAATAATTGTCCAAGGTGTTAAAAAAAAGGACTCTATCAATGCAAGCTCACCGTTCGTCTCGCTTCGATGCAAAGGCTCGGCTACCTTTCAAGATGGCCCAGGGAACTGTGAAAGGGACTATTCTGATGACAATAAAAACCTTTGTTTGACCCTCATCATAAATTTATTTTCAAGCGCTTGAATGCGAGGCTACGCGTCGGAAAATCTAGTGTTTCAGTCAACATGCCTGCCGCGTGCTTAAGGTCCATAAATGCAAGGGGTCTATAAATGTATAATAGCAGTTTATTACTCAAAGCCAAATATAAGAATTTTCTTATTAATCATATGGATGCGTCCATCAAGCTTATTATTTACCAAAATGAAATAGATATTTAAGCTTCGGTTTTATTTAAGCGAAGTGTATGTTCATTGCTACTCGCACCGTTTTACCCACTGATACGAGTTTCCATTTGGTTTTCCTGTGGTAAAGAAGAAGTGATGACTGGGAATGAGGTTCAGTCCCTGTCTCTCTCGTTGTTCTGGACCACAGCAAGCCCATGATCCAAGTTGATCAATAGTCGCCCATCGCCAGCGCGTGTTAATTTTATGATCTGGTATGATTTTATAATAATGATAATTGAAACAATTGCTAATTGAATTCTAGAAAATGTCCGGACAGCTAGAGAAATCTTTGTTCCAATATTTGCCGGTGTATAACCAATCAGTTTGCCCTGTGTAAGGGTTGATTTCTTCTTTGAACCACCTAGGGATCGAAAATGAAGAAAATTTGAATAACCCTTTGAAAGTACCTTGGCGCCTCGCTTGAGTACTTTGTGTTTGACCAGTGAACAGATGTATGGAAAATGGTGAATAGTGGTYGTGATGAAGATGATAATAATTAGTGTAATGATGATGATGACGTTGACGATGATGACGGTGATGTCCGTGGTGAAGGATGATGGTGATGGTGGAAATGATGATGATGATGATGATATTGACTAAGAAGAGACATGATGGTGGTGGTGAGAAATAGTGATGGTCATGGTCATGATGATGATGATGACGACTGTAATGAAAGATGATGATGATGATGCATGATGATGATGATGATTGTAATGAAAGATGATCGTGATTATGATGATAATGATAATGATAATGATGATATTGAATAAGATGATGCAAGGTGATGGTGAGGGTCATAACTGATAGTGATGAGAATACTTGTGCTCGTAGCACGATTAAATATGACCAAACAGGATTCAAGACTTGTAAATCTTCAAATGATCTTGTCTACTTACAGTGGTTTCCACTCCAAATTTTTCTTTTGTCTTTCTTTTCTATTTGTTCGCTGCTTTTCCTCCAGTCGAATCTTCTCTGCAGTCGCTCGATCTTTAAATACCGGGAGGAAAGGGTTTCAGGCAAAGTTAACTATGTTAGGGCTTCAATTTAACATTCTTCAATAAAATATAATTTGGCGCTTCAACTTCTTTAGAACAAAACAAAATGCGCCACTCCTATGGCAATGAGCTTGGCTATGAATGTCTTCTGTGATATTGCATCCTAGAATGAAGCTTCAATATTGTACTTAAATTACTCGTTTACCTAAATCACCATTTTCTAGTGTACGACAGTCAGGTCTAAATCGCGAGTCTGTTGGAGGTAGCTGAAAGAAAAGAATCGCAGATTAGTACACAGCCGCATTCAATTCTTGTATCTTGGATCTTCCTTATTAATGATGTCCTTATCCTCTCAGTTCCTTATCTCCTTATCTAAAATTTTAATCGTATGCGTGCCTAGCCGCGACTGTGATGTCTACTAAAATTTCGATCGGTTGATTTTTCTTTTCTTTCTTTTTTTTTTTTTTTTTTTGGCGGAAATGTGATTGGTCTGGCAGTGCCGTGACCTTGACGCGTGTTTCGGGTATTTTATTAGATGGAGAATAAATTTCCGTGTGATTAATCTGGCGTATAAGTTGCCGTGTAACGACTGCATTCGTGAAACTGCTCTAAAAAATGTATGACTAGCTGTACTGGACTAAGTGTACCTTTTTATCGTCTCCAGGCAGAAGTTCATTCAGCTGTATGGCATAACTAGTGAAATTGTACATCTAGAAAGATAAAATCACATAAATTTGTTGAACAATGGTTTTGAATGGAATACCATGAAATATCCCACGACGCACTTGTATTTTTAAGTAGCAATTTGTGAAGGGAAAGTAGGAAGGAAGGAAGGAACGTAGGTGGGTGGGTGGGTGGGTGGGTAGGTAGGTAGGTAGGTAGGTAGGTAGGTAGGTAGGTTGGTAGTTAGGAAGGTAAGGGAGACAAGGAAGATAGGAAGGTAGGGAGTTAGTTGGGTAGGATGGTGCGTGGGTGGGGAGTATGGTAAATAGGTAGTTTAACACCTACCTCTTTAGAATGTGGTGGTTTACTATGAAAATTCCATAAGACAACAGGACTAGTGAGCTCTAGACTACAGTCACTACTACTCGTACTTAAAGAATCTGCTAATGCTGCAGAATTATCTATTGATGTTTTTCCTCGTTTGCTTGCTTTTCTACTCAGTGTTGTCTCCGTGCGGTAACAGGTCAACTTGTCTGTCCAATCACCCCTTATAATATACTTCTTCTTTTTCCTGTTCAGAGAAAATGATCAATAACGATGATGTTATTTTAAGAGAATTCTTTTCGTATTCAAGCAGTGAGCGCCAAAAACTATTTCCTTGAAGAAAGGCTGTTGTACAAGGCTAAAATCTTGTTATTCAGAAAGTTTAACTCGTTTGGAAGTGGAGATGACCGATGAAAGTGGAATCAAAGTGTTAACCCAAAGCAAAAAAATGTATTCGAAAATTAGGTTTAGGTCTTCATATATTTTCTATAAAAAAGCCTGACAAAGCAACATTCTAACACAAATGCAACAAAACATCTTTGTACAATTGAAAATACCGCTTCAAACAGGCATTTTATCATAGTACATCAGTTTCTAACTGTTTAAAAAGGTTTTGAGTGTTAACCCAAAACGAAAATTGGGATCAAAACTCATACGAAAGTCTAGTTTTTGGCGCTTTTTGCCATTATTGCTCATTATTGAAAAAAACTTCCTCTTAAAACTTATTTCATCGTAAAAGTAAGTATGATGCGTGCACTGTGTGGCGTGAGATTACAAGTACGAAAACAAATGTATTTTATTTGTTGTAGTAAGATCAGTTGTAGTTTTCAATTCTGTTTTTTAATGCAAAGTTGGCTGTGCGCGCATTTTGCGTCAGCGACCATGCAAGTCATGTAAGCCAAGGCCAAAATCTAATCATTTTAGAGTTACTTTTAGAGCAAGCAGCAACTTTTACTCAGATATTTTAACACCGCGAGGGTTGGTCGGCCGAGAATTGAACCTACGACCTCCGGTACCACAGGTCAACCAACCGAGCCAAACAGAAAGCAGTCATTGGTTAATTGCAATGCTTCTTTAAATGTGTATCTAAATGACGAGTACTTCGCAATACTTACTCAGCAGCTGAATATATCGTGCCTTCTACCTTATTCAGGTCTTTACCAAACCATCCAGCAGGTTTAAACTGAATGACTGCACGATCGCCCGTCGAGAGACTAGATACTTCGATTTGTCCATACTAAGAAACAAAACAGAAAAGTTGAAAAATGTGTCAAAAAAAAACATTGAAAAAAAAAGGGTATGGAAACGTTAATTTAAACAGGGTGGCCTATTCAGCTAAAAGCTGGTATCCAGAGGGGCCCTGTAAAATACATTTTTATTTATTTCAGTGTCTAGTCGTTCTAGCGCATTCGCACTAATTGGGGACACTTTTCACTCACACTAGCACACTACAACTAATACTACATTCAATGTTCTATGCACAAAACGCTCAACTTATGTGTTGATTTTTACGGAGGGAGGAAACCGGATACCCTCGTAGCATAGGAGAGAACAACACATCAAACAAACTCAATTTACATCTAATGTCCATTTTTGCGCACGCACCATGGTTTTCAAGGCTAGTCAAGAAAACAGCAGTTTTTGCATAAATCACTAAAAAATTCAGTGTACGGACGCGCGGTGCGGTGATCGTGGCAACTATCATTCTGATATTGAATGAGCAGAGATATCTATTCGCCGAATGTCATCAAAGCCGTGCAAAATGAAGACGACGACGCGATTGTCRGGTCGTTAATCATTAATTTTATACGGTTCCTACTAACCTGTTCTATCCACAACTGCCCTACAATGATGTTATGTACACAACTATTGACATTATTCCACGTATATACTTCATTTAACCTGATAGAGAACAAAACATGATAATTAAGGAGATAAAATTTTCAGTGTCCCTGATATGAAATAAGCCCAAGTTTTCGGACCGGAATTTCCGGTTTTCCTGGGTAAATGGTAAGTACACACTCTCACTTTCTTTGCTTTCTCACTTACTTTGGAAATTTCAGAGTGACCATTCCTTTTGGTTGAATCTCTACGCCTTTGCCCCAAAACTTGAGTTTTGGTTGAACAGTGACGTGAAATACGAAATCCTCTCCCTCACATTGAAGGGCGCTGATTGGTGGATGATGGCTGACCTGTTATACACCACAAACGTTAGCAACCAGAATGATTAACGACTATTATATTGTTGTATCTATGGAACAATTTTTAATTTTATAGCAATCAAAGATTAAGAAAACAAACATGCAAGGAAACAGAAAGTAAGCATAACCGTTACCTGCTCAGCGATGAGTTTAAATCCTAAGTCTTCCCTGTGAAGAAAGAGATATTAAAAACCTTGTATTAATTAAGTTGACAATATTAACCTTTTCGAGGTCTCTATTGTCGAAAAAGGTCTATAGAGGTTTTGCACCATCACGTGTTCACACCCATAATACTGCTTGGGCTTCCTGTGGTTAGATGGCAGAATAATCAAATTCTTTTGCTCTCGGAAATTGAATTGTGTCTCATGTAAAACGATTGTACTGTTCCTGTCATCTAACATGGCTGCCGTCACGTGGTGGTGCAAAACCTCTACAGCCCCCTTCAAAGTTCCCAACGCCATCTTGAAAGGTAGCCGTGCCTTTGCATCGAAGCGAGACGAACGGTGAGCTTGCGATCATAGAGACCTAAATAATTGTCCAAGGTGTTTAAACAAGGTCTCATTGCATTCTCACCGTTCGTCTCACTTCGATACAAAGGCATGGCTACCTTTCAAGATGGCACAGGAAACTGTGAAAGGGACTATTTCAAAGACATTCGTATTGCTCGATCATTTCGTCGTGTTTTGCGCTTTGAGCACCAGAAAAGGCGCGTTATAAAAAATAAAGTTAAAAGGCAATACTTTTGTCATGAAATCGAAATTGCAGCAGATTCAGAGCACGTTCTTACCTTACGAGTTCATACGTCTCTCCGAGAAGGGGGTTAAAAGGTTTTCCTACTCGATCTAAATTAGACGAGGTTGCAGACGTAGCAAAAGCGACCACATACTACGGAAACGAGATAAAACGTTTCAGAACAATCGGGAGTAAATCTAAAACTTGTTGGTTGGTTGATTTGGACATTATCAAACTCGAGTTTCATCAAGCAGAAATTGAATGTTTTTTATCATCAAACCTTCGGGCCATCATCAGGGAGGTAAAACGTATAAATCGTTGTTTCTTACGGTTTTTTTTTCCTTCTTTTTTTTTTTTTTTTT